TGAGGCCCAGGGCCAGCCCCAGCCACACGAATCTTCCTTCGGGGCAGCTTCTGCAGCGAGCGAGCAATGGGAACAATCCCCTTCCAGCATCCTGCCCAGCACCCCGGGGCTACAAGACTGGCTGCATGCGGTGTACTGCAGAGGTTCCCCCCAGATGCTCGTAAGCCCCCCTCATCTCACCGTGCTGGTCATTCTGCCTGCATGGCAGCCAGAGCCCCACGGAGAGGATTCGCCTTCTAATGCGCCCCGGGGCCATCTGGGACAAGCGAGCAGATCCTACGTGCACAGGGACAGATTCTGGCCCAGAGCTCAGCGGCCCAGCACCAAGCGCGTGCTCAGTCACGCAACAGGCCAGCATGACTGTTTGGACTGAGAACCCTCTGCACCAGCACCAGCTGGGTTTAATCCTCGGAAAGTCTGTCACCTGCGCCTCAGCCGCGTCCTTGGACAGCAAGACACGTGTCAATTATCTGCTACACACAGAGTATTCCTACCGTCTTTGTAGGTCAGGCTAGCGACGAACTTTTTGCCGTGGCTGCGTGCATAGTCCTGGAGGTTGGGGGCACTGGAGGAGCCTCCGAGCACAGTTGTGCTAAACAGTCCTGTGCACTGCGACCCTGCAAAGGCACGGGAGGGCATTAGTACCCTGTCTCCACGGCAGTCCAGTTAGCCAGGAGAAGCCATTTCCCCTCCTCCAGATGACCGCTGCAAAGGAGATAAGTCCTGGGCACAGAGGAGGAAAGTTGCCTTACTGCAAGATCACCACCCACACGGGTTTGCGGTCTCTTGGCCTTCCACCTCCTGAGCCAGACACAGCTATTGGCAGTCTGAGCGCTAGGACAGTGACCCATCCAGTTAGGATACCTACCCCCCTTCGTAGGCATGCACCAACTGTGAGCACTGCTCCTCTGCCCTCCACCCAGCTCTCCTGGGCAGGAAGCAGCCAGCACAGTGGCGCAGAGGAGGAGGAGGCAGGCAAACCTAGGGAGGAGGGAGCGTCGACTCCCAATGAGGAGTTTTCAAATAAAACAAGGAATCTGCTGATCAGGAATCAGGGAGCTTGCTCATAGCTCTACTGCAGGGGTGGCCAACCAACACCAGAGGAGCCAGAATTTACCAGTGCACAGTGCCAAAGAGCCACAGTGGGATCAGCTCTCAGTGGGAGACACGGGAAGGGGGCGCAGCAGTGTGCCAGGCTCAGTGGAGAGTTGGCACCTGTAGCTCCAGCCCCGGATTTGGTACCTATGCAAGGAGCCGCATGTGGCTCTGGAGCACAGGTTGGCCACCCCGGGTGCAGAGAAAAGACTGGATGTCCAGCTGGTGATCAGTCACTATACTGGGCTGCTGGTGCCAGACCTCTAGAAACCTGTACCCAGAGCGCCAGCTTTCCAGATACACACGCACTGTCCTGCTCAGTCCACGGGCTCCTCCAGGCCAGGGTTCTGCCTTTGTTTCCAAGGGTGCATCTACACTGCAGGGCTGAACTTGAAATAAGCGACGCAAACTGAGCTACGTCAATTGCGGATCTTATTTCAAAATGGAACTCTCCCTCCATCTTCCCCTGCTCCTCGGACCACAAGGGCTGCAGGAGTCGGAGTAAGAAGTCCTCCAGCTTCCCCTGCTCCTCGGACCACAAGGGCTGCAGGAGTCGGAGTAAGAAGTCCTCCAGCTTCCCCTGCTCCTCGGACCACAAGGGCTGCAGGAGTCGGAGTAAGAAGTCCTCCAGCTTCCCCTGCTCCTCGGACCACAAGGGCTGCAGGAGTCGGAGTAAGAAGTCCTCCAGCTTCCCCTGCTCCTCGGACCACAAGGGCTGCAGGAGTCGGAGTAAGAAGTCCTCCAGCTTCCCCTGCTCCTCGGACCACAAGGGCTGCAGGAGTCGGAGTAAGAAGTCCTCCAGCTTCCCCTGCTCCTCGGACCACAAGGGCTGCAGGAGTCGGAGTAAGAAGTCCTCCAGCTTCCCCTGCTCCTCGGACCACAAGGGCTGCAGGAGTCGGAGTAAGAAGTCCTCCAGCTTCCCCTGCTCCTCGGACCACAAGGGCTGCAGGAGTCGGAGTAAGAAGTCCTCCAGCTTCCCCTGCTCCTCGGACCACGAGGGCTGCAGGAGTCAGAGTAAGAAGTCCTCCAGCTTGATGCTGGTTAGACGCAGACTAAGTGATTTCGAAATAGTGCTGCAGTGTAGATGCACCTTGGGAAAGCCAAGTGACCCACAATGCTCCTTGTCAATTTCCTGTGAGACGCTCTGCAGGGCAGAGGCCAAGAGTCCTTCCTGAGTCCTGGGGCTTGCCCACCATCCATTTACACCTGCCCTGTTCTCTGCCTTGGGCTCTCTCGGTTAACACTTGTACAAAATAAAACCCACCAAAACAAGCCCAAGCCCTCAGTTGCACCATGGCTTGGCTCTGCATCTCCTGGTCCATGCTCAGCTCAAGAGCTGTTCTTTCAAAAGTAAAGACTCACAATGGATTAAGTCAAGAGTTTTGCTGAGAGTCTGAAAATGAGGGTGTCCTACTGTCTCACGCTGCCTGTTCTGGAGAACTCGAGAGGCACATTTCTTCATACATTAGAGGACCTACTTTTTTTTTTTTTAAACTATCCTCAATTAATTGTTGGCTCTTTTCTCCAAGCAGTTGGCAGCAGTGTTCCCTGTAAGCTGAGCACCTGAGGCCACGGAGGAGAGATTCAGATGTCGCCTGGCTGATCAGCAGAGCCACAACTGCCAGCAGCATGTCTCTCCTGGTGGTGCACATCACATTTATTTCACATATGCATAGAAAGGATGAGATGGACACTGGCTGGAAGTGCATCTCTGGATGCAACTCCTATGTACAGTGGGTTTGGACCTTTCCTATCTCTCTCTAAAGTTTTCTTGCTGGGCGACGGAATGGGGTTCTCACGCTCTCAGGCCACGAGAGTCGCCAGAGAGAGGAGGGTAGGTGAGCGTAGCGAGCAGCAGGCCCAGCTCCCTAGTCAAATATGTATTCGTTCTGTGGGATTTTGTCTGCTCGTTCAAGAACTTCTCCTAAACGGCAGGACACCAAATCAGGTGGGCAGCTTCCTCATAACAAAGCAAAGTAAGGGTTTGCTTGTGCCAGGAATGAGGCTGTTTCTCAAAACAGAAAGGGAGGGTTCTGGTAGCAGGGACTGTTGTACAGTATAATGATCGCAGGGGGCCAGCAAGGGGATCGGGAAAGCTAGAATCCCACTGGAGTGGCAGGGATGGAAAAAGGGGCACCCATCTACTGTGTATTTCACAGGGTTTGTTTAGATCTGTTGGTCCCCAGCCTGTTGACCTGCACCCTCCCTTGGCTGTGCCCGCTGCAGCAGCCATGGACAGGCGCTTCTCAGCTGGCCCTAAGCTGCTATAGCAAGAGGGCTGGGGTTGTCCCCTTCTCCACAGGGCCCCCCTCATCCCAAGCCCCACCCCACAACAGGCCTTCCAATTTGCCATTTAGCATCCATTCTAAATTCCCCATTTAACCCAGAGATTCCCCTGGCACATCTATGGAACAATGTTTTCTCCTCCTATGTCATCTCCTCTTCTCCTGGCTGATTCTGTCAGCTGCAAAGCAAGCCCAGAGTTTGAGTCTTCGTGGACTCCCCTCTGCAGCCACTCAGACATTTATTTTTTCAGAAGAACAGCGTTTGCCGAGTGACACAGCTAGCTCAGCATCGCATGTTCTCGCACAGTCAGACAAGGGCAGCCTGCAGAAAACACCTTTGCCACATGTGACCATCTCAAAGGCCCATTCCGACCGGGAACCATCCCCCACTGCTACTCTGGCTCTGTCACGCTGCACCACCCCAATAGCCCCTGCAGTCCAGTGTCCAGCCTCCAGCAGCAGGCAGGGCCAGAGACGTCATGGAAAGGTGGACGCTGCCATCTCTCACTGGGCAACACTGTCTACAGCAGCGGTGGGAACCTTTTTGGGGTCGGGGGCCGATGACCCACAGAAAAATCAGTTGGGGACGCACACACGTGAGAAGCAAAAAACCCAACCAAACCCTCGCTGATGTGGCCCCCAACTGAGGAGACGCTCCCCACATTCCCCTGGCACAGCAGAGCCTTTGGGGGCCCAGGATAGTAGATTGTGTGTGCTGTAGCCCCACAGGGGCCTGGAGCACCACCGTGGGCTTCCCAATACTGGGAAGGAGCCCCAAGCCTCAGGGGGCCGGATCCAGACAAGCCGGGGCTGCATCCAGTCTCCAGGCCTGCGGTTCCAACTCAGGATCTGATCCTACACCATTTATTCCTCCCCTGGAGCAGGACGATGGACAATCCATGTACATACTCTGAAATTGACACACCCTGCAGAAGATGACGCTAGTTTTCCATCTGCTCCCAAGGGTGTTCATTCAGTGCACACAATCGGAACAATTTCTTTGCGCACTGTCTGCTGTTGCCAAGCTGCAAAGAAGGCATTGGGCTCGGTGAGTCCTACACCATTTATTCCTCCCCTGGAGCAGGACGATGGACAATCCATGTACATACTCTGAAATTGACACACCCTGCAGAAGATGACGCTAGTTTTCCATCTGCTCCCAAGGGTGTTCATTCAGTGCACACAATCGGAACAATTTCTTTGCGCACTGTCTGCTGTTGCCAAGCTGCAAAGAAGGCATTGGGCTCGGTGAGCCAGCCAAGGGCTGAAAGCAAGGAGCAGCTCCCTGGGCCACCAGGGGAATCAGGCCTCCCTGCGGACATGCTCCAACGCAATCCAAAAGAGCAGAGACGTAACCAAACGAGGCAGCAAGAGCTCTGTGCCGAAGGACACGGCCAAAGAGAAGCAATGGGAAGGCAGCAAGATCCACGGAGTGGATGCTCACGCTCACTAAACAGCAACAAGACAGGTGTCTACTCCTGAGGCGGACGCGCCGATACAATGGGCTGGCTCCCGGAGAACGGTGTTGGGGGCCAGCTGTGCTTTAATAGGGATCATTTCACTCTCCGACACTTCCTACACTAAGCCCTGTAGCCCTCATTGGTGATCTTAGGATCTTACGTACCAAGCATGCCAAGGGAGGTACCGGGGAAGTTATGATCAGTTGAGACCCGCCCTTTTCCTCTCAATCTGTGTGGGGGAGTGTGACTGAGTGGTCCTGCCACACCCTACCCCAGAAAAGAGCCATAGATAAGTCCTCCGGGAGGTTAGAGTGGCTCTGGAGGAAGAGCTGCAAAGCAGAGCTCAAGCATGCAGACCCACAAGGCTGGCTGGCAGAAGAAGCAGTTTCCAAGAGGGAAGCGCTGGAGGCAAGTGTCTAAACAACCATCGTTCAGCAAGGGCACGTCTACACAGCAGGGCTAAACTCAAAATAAGCGACAGCTTCAGCTATGCTGATTGATTACACAGCGTAATCAAAATAGCGGATTTCGACTTTTGGCACAGTCCAGACGGTCACAGGAGTCAGAGTAAGAAGCCCGTTATTTCAATGTATTCCAAAATAACAGGCCAGCTGTGTAGACGTGCATGACATTATTCCAAAATAACGCTGCTGTGTAGACACAGCCCCAGGGAGCTGCAGTCCAGCGACTCACTCGTGTGGGGACTCAGCAACGCCCTCGGACATGCTGAACTGGCGCTCTCCAAGCAGAAGGAAGGTCGAAAACAGAACTCAGGGG